CCTCCTCTCTTTCCCCCCCCCTCCCATTTGAAAGTATCTTCCTTCCCCATTGGTCCTTGTGGTCAGGCACCAACTAGGTTATTTGATTTTCTTAACCCCTTACAGGTAACCTCTGACCAGGAGGAATTTTATATTACTGCATACATAAAGGTTGTTACCCTTCCCTTTGTATTTATGACAGGGGTAGAGTACAGGGGTCTACTGGAGAGCGATCTGTTGTTGATTTGGCAGGTTTTCAGTAGACCCACTAAATGGACCGCTGGTGGATTGGTCTCAGAGTGTCAGTCCCAGCTGTAGTGTAGATATAGCCTATGATGTGGCCTTCAGAATACTTCTCCAGATACTAACACCCCGGGATGAGGGGTAAGATCACCTCCTTGTTCATTTCTTCAGCTGATTTTACAAATATGCAGACCCTACTGGAACATAGCCCCCTAGGTTCCAGGAGTGTAGTAGCACCCCTTTGAGGTGACACAAAAATTAGCAGTAGCGTTGACATTTCCTGCACTATGGGCGATGGGAACTTCTTCTCACTGTTCATTTAGGCAAAAGCAGCAGGTGATGATGAAGCCATGTTCATCGATGACAACTTTTGCACTGCATTGGAATATGGACTTCCACCGACAGCTGGATGGGGCATGGGCATCGATCGGCTCACCATGTTCCTTACAGACTCCAATAATATTAAGGTAATGGACCACCTGGAGGAAATAGGGAGTAAGAAATCCTGCAAAGTACTCTCCAGTTGTAAAAACAAAAGGCTACTTACGTTATGAGAGTCTGATTGAAACACCTGTCTACTTCCACATCCCATCCTAAAGGCCAGGAAATTCAGGGTTATAGCTGAAATCCAAACTCCATAGGTACTGTTGTGGGGATTAAATGGTGCAATGGTAAAAATTAAAATTGCCTTTTTTCTGAATTAGCCATTTCTGGGGTTTTCTCTCCAACACCTGCAGTTTCATGGTGTCCATTATGGGACCTGGGGAAATCCAACTTGAGCATTGAGGAAGTAAATAGGGTTTGTAATTAAGTATGCACAAATCAAGTACTTATAATTTGCTGGTTTAGGGGCTCTTATTTTTATGCAAAAAGGAATGTGAATGGGGAGGTGAGGAATAGGGAGAGGGGGGAAGCTGATGGTGTTTGGTTCCCTCCACAGGAAGTGCTGCTGTTTCCTGCTATGAAACCTGAAGACAATAAGAAAGAGGTTGAGTCCAGTCCCTCTGCTGAAGGCACCTCAGTGTGAGGGGCTGCTGATCCTTGCCTGTGTCCAGTTGGGAGGCAGATGTTTGCTTTGTCTTCAGTAATTACGGGTTGTGGACAAAGGTTGCTCCTGCCCTGAGGAGACCAGTGAAAGCTGCTGTGTCACGGTTTCTGTAAATGAATAAAAGACAATGCTATCCTGCCTCCTCTTGCTTGGTGTTTGTGTGCAAGGTGGCAGCGTACAGGGCCGGATTAACCTTTTGTGGCCCCGGTGCCAACCCTATCTGTGGGCCCATTCTGAGGTGGGCCTAGTGGCAGTGCCATTGGAACCCTAGTAAATCTGGTGCTGAATCTGAGACATTTTTCATTTTGATCACGCACCTCTGCACGACTATATGTATTGCCATACGCAGCTTCCTCAGCCCCCAGTTTTTCTCACTGAGCTGTACCCATGTGGGTTTACCAGTGTCCACTATGAAAGTTCTGTTCATTGTGATCAGAGGAAACTCTCCACAGATTTAGCTCCTTCCTCATTCAGAAGTTTTGTAGTCATGTCTCTCACACCATCCTGTTTCACCAGTCACTATATGTGGTCCTGGCCTCAGCTCAACCAAGTTCCACAGCCAGCAGATATCCGATCAGTTCTGACAGTCCCCTCCCCTGGCGCCCATCCTGCCATTTGCAAACACCATTTTCCCCAACCCTAGCTCAGTGAGCACTTAGCCCCTGGGACCCTGAAATCACCAGCCTTTTTCCCTCTGCTCCTATCTACATGCTATTCCACTACCTGGTCACTAACACCTTTCCTCATGTGTTTCCCTTCTACCTTGGTTGTGCTCCCCAGTCAGTCCTATTCTCCCCCTGTAAACCTGACCTGCTTCTTCTTTCCCTGTTCCCCTTGACATTCCTTTTCTACTGGTGACCTCTGTTCCTTGAAGTTAACTCCAGTTTCTTTCTCTGCTCCTAGCTTAATCTCCCCTAATAGTCACAGTCACCTGTAGCTTCTCTGGCTAAAGCCATGGGGCCAATTGCTAGAGGCCAGCCTTAGACAGCTGCAGCTACTAGATGCAAGAGGGCTGGCAGTTCCAAGGCTGAGTATGCTTGAACCTTGCAATGGCAGCAGTAGGGACTCTGTCCTCAGCGCTAGCCCTAGGCAACTGTAGAGTCTGCAGTTAAGTGCTTCCCTACTCCAGGCCATGGCTTTGAGATGCCCATCACCTGCTGCAGATGCCCCCCAATGTAGTCAGAAATCACCAGTGTGGTGCTCTGCTCTATCCAATGTTGATAAGTTAGCTGTGTGTGTGTTCTCCCTGTGTGCTGTCCCAGCTCTGCGCAGGCAGCTGGCACAGCAGATTTTGAGTGAACTGACCAATGACCACAGATTCCAATAAGGTATGAAGGCACCCGGATAGGTTTATTGCCAAATGAAACAATGTCTGCAGTTCTGCTAGTACATGTGTGCTCCCTGAAAATGGACCAGTTCAGTCACTGGCGGGATTTACCACTGACCCCTAAGCCAGACAAAGACACCTCCTCAGGGGTGCATTCTTATACATAGGTACAAACTACACATCACTCCTGATGTATTGAGGTACAACCCCTCTACGTGTTAGGGTGCTGCCTCTCACCTGGTACATGTTGGTTCGAACAAAACAACTCTATCCATATTATCCTTTTGATCCTGTCTTTGGGATGGGTCAGCATGTTCCTTGTTATCTGTGTGGAATATAGTAGTATCTGTGTTCTTGGTACCATCCTGGCACATGTTTATATCTCTAGTGTCCAGTACCTTTTAGGTTTCAGAGTAACAGCTGTGTTAGTCTGTATTTGCAAAAAGAAAAGGAGTACTTGTGGCACCTTAGAGACTAACCAATTTATTTGAGCATAAGCTTTCGTGAGCTACCGCTCACTTCATCGGATGCATACTGTGGAAAGTGTAGAAGATCTTTTTATATACACACAAAGCATGAAAAAATACCTCCTCCCACCCCACTCTCCTGCTGGTAATAGCTTATCTAAAGTGATCAATTTCCTTACAATGTGTATGATAATCAAGTTTGGCCATTTCCAGCACAAATCCAGGTTTTCTCACCCCCCTGAACTCCCCCCCACACACACACACACAGCAGGAGAGTGCTTCCTACACTTTCCACAGTATGCATCCGATGAAGTGAGCTGTAGCTCACGAAAGCTTATGCTCAAATAAATTGGTTAGTCTCTAAGGTGCCCCAAGTACTCCTTTTCTTTTTGCAAGTACCTTTTAGGTATGTATGTTTTTGCAACATCAGCCCTTTCCTTGCCAGACTATGAGCAAGTTCTGCTTCTTGCTCACGGCTCAATTTTGCTTTATGTTAAAGTCTTGAACATTACTTTAGTTCAGGTCTTAGGCCTCATACTGGGCCTCTGATACAAGGGTTTATGTTTCAGGGCCTCATTTTACTACATTATGCACCCCTCATCTAGCACATAGTCATGCAGTCTGGATGATTTTGGAGGCTGGGATGCCAGAAGGTTCACCATCCCTGAGCAGTAGCTCTGCAACAAGTTCACACCACCCCCCTCCACAGTGGGACCCTGTGAAGACAGTGGAGTTACCCCATGTATAACCAGTTCCACCCAAAGCCTGTTGAAGTGAGTGGGAGTCTTTTCACTGTCTTTAATGGGCTGTGTATGGAGTCTAGAATGAGGTCCTTTGCTTCTAGGAGCACAGTACATTCTAAAACTATGCTACACTGGTTTACTATTGTAAGCAGGAGGGTCGCACATGACCTATTGAATAATCAACACCTCCGGTCTGAAAATATCAGGTGGTATGGTTACAAAAGCAAGGCACTTCTGAATTCAGTAGGACTTTTGGATGTGCACAGAATGCAGGACTGCAGTAAAGTGGAACAATTTTCAGTTTGTGTAAGTGGAGGATATCTGGATCCATATTGTAAGGCTGTCCTACATAATGAAGAAAAGTTGAGGTCCTTTGCTGTTCTTTTCTACCACTCTTAGTTTCTGTGGAGAACTTGCCAGTGCAATATTACTGTCATATTTTTATGGGAAATAAAACTTAAAAAAAAAGGTACTGGTTGTTGAAAATAGCAATTCCAGTCCTGGTTAGCATTGGGAAGAGACCAGCATTCGTTATTCAATTTTATCCTACTTTTTCTACAGCAAATTATAGTGGAGACTTGGGAGAGATGAAGTAACAGAGTGGCCCAGCTGAACTTGAGCATTCCTGAACTCTGAGGGTGTTCAAATCTGGAAGGCAGGCACTAGATTCCCTTTTTGAGTATTAGATAAATCTGGAAAGGAAAAGCCAACTTCTGCTTCCATGGCTCAGAAATGGAAATTGAGTCACATCCTGGTGCGTGTCTGGTCCCTAAAGTGGCCCCGTCTGCAAGTAGAGCCTTTTCTCCCTTCCCTACTATTTTAACTTCTCCTGGTGGAGTCCTCCCGGCTCAGGGCTGGATCCATGCGGCGGGGTGCGCGCTGGAGTCACGTCCGGGGGTGGCCAGCGGCTGCCCGGGACCGGCCAGCGGCTGCCCGGGACCAGGGCTTTCTCCGGGGCTGCAGGCTGGGCGCTGTGGTAATCGGGGAGGAAGCGGGCGTTACGGGCCCCTTCGGAGCCTGGTGCTGAGAGGCGCAGGTCGGGCCGGCCCGGGGCTGCTGCTAACTGCAGCTCCTGGGCGAGCGCCCCACGCCCCGGGTGCCCGGGCGCGACCGGCAGTCCAGCGCGGCATGGACTTTTGCGCATGCGCTCTCCTCTCCAACCTCTCCCCAGAGCGCCGGCTCGCAAATGTCCTCGTGCGCGGCCTGGGCTAAGGGCGTGGCTGCGGAATTACCCCCGATAGGTCGCGGGCGAAGCTTGCCTTGGGATCTGCTTCCGGAGCAGCCGGAAGACGTGGGAGTCGCGACCCCAGCCCGGGTAAGGCTGGGAGCCGCGCAGGCCTGGGCGAGTGGCGCGGCGCGGCGCCGGGGCTCCTGGGCTCCCTGTCCGGCCCCGCCGCCGGCGGCCTCCTGGCGCGGAGGAGGGGTAAGCGACCTGGCGGGAAGAGGCGCAGCCTAGGGGAGAAGCGGGAATTTGAATGACACGTTCCCAGTCCTCGCTCTTTTAAACCGTGTGTTCGTGTCGTCAGCGCGAGGGCCTAACTGTGATCGGTCCCGCCTCGCGCCGGCCGCTCTACGGGCGCAGCGACCATTCGCAGCCTGCCTGGCAGACGGAGGGGGAGGGCGGGAGGGCGGGAGGGGGGAGGGCGGCACAGAGCGGAGAACTGAACGGCGCGCGGCGGGCCGGAGCTGGGCATAGGAACTGGGTCTCCTGACTTCTGGTCCAGTGCCTTATCTAGTAGCCAGCTCCTCCCTTGTCGCCTCTCCATGCCTCCGGCAGCTCTGGGAAACATCTAAGGGACTAGCTTGTTTGAAATACCACCTGAAAATACAGTTCTGCTGTCTTCTGCTGAAGTATAGGTGGGAACTGATGGCAGTAGTGCGGCTGGGGGTTTGTATGGGGGTACAAGGAAGGGTAATATGAGGTGGTGGACTGGGAAGGGAAGGTGATGCTTTTCTGGTCGTTTTTATGCTGTATCCAATTCTGTTCAGAAGCTGATGTGGCAGCTGTAGCCATGTGGTCAGCTGATGAGGTTGCTGGTCTGTGCTACACACATTATAGCACCAAGCTTCCTAAGCAGGGGAAGCCGGATCCTAACCGGGAGTGGACTTTACTGGCAGCTGTGGTTAAAGTGGAGTCTGCGCCTGAAAGAGAGGCTTGCCTTAATGTTGGGAATCTGCAGGGTGAGAATGAATCTTCTTTTCTCAGTAAATGCCTGTAATGTGATTTTCAGCTTAATTAAAGGTGACCTGTAAAGGAAAAAAAATTGTGGGGTTTTTGCCTAAAAAGTGTTTGAATTTATTTTCTTACTTTTATCCTAGAAACATAGGGAATGTTAAATATTCTTTTCTGTTTGGTGGAGATCTCCATTGGAGGACCCTGAGAAGTAAAGTGAGATCTTTTGCAGATCTTGTTTGAAAGGACAGGGATGTGACTCTAGCAAAATTATTTTCTCTCAGGAAAAATAGAGTACATAATTATTATGAGACCTGATCAGATAAGTGGTCTTGCTAGTCCAGTATCCTGTCTCTGACCGTGCCCATTTTCGGCTGCTTTACAGGAAGGTCTGAGAAACCCCATAATGAAAAATAATGGCATAAACAGCACAAAGGAAGATGTCCCTTCCTTTCTGTCTATTAGCTCCTAGAGTTTTGTTGTGCCACACATCAGTGTATTGTCTGATCGCTTCCCATATAAAATAGACTGGCAATAGAAAAGTTCCTAGTGGGTTTTACAGAGTGTCTTACTCTTCTCCCTTTTTGGGTTTTGAAAACTCTGCAGGGGCCGGTGGTTTGTAATGTGTTTTGTGAGTGTGTGTGTATGGTGGGGGGGGGGATTGGTGTTGTGAGTATCATTCTTGTCTTGGTGGAAGGGCTCTTTCTGGAGGAAGGTTTTGCAATACTTGTGAAGGGGCTCGAACTCTGCAGTTTTCTGCTTTCTGGAAGTTTGTTCCACAGCCACATCTCTTTGATTCCCGGCTGTCACATGCTTTGTTCTGGACTTTGTGGTCTGCATTGGCCCAACTCTCTTGGCATTTTACAGTTTGGAATTTGATCTCTAATGTAACTGGTCTTGAGTCATTAATTGGTCCTAATCTTCAAAGCAGTCTTAAAACTGGCATTGGAAATGGACTGGGAACCAGTGGAGGGACAGTGCCATGTTCTCATGGCAACCAAAACCATGGAAGAGGTGGACAACTGCACGTTGTATCAGCTGGAGCCTTTGCATTATTCTTACACTCTGTGTCAGACACAGTGAATTACTGTAATCTAGCTTGGACGTGACAAATATATGCATCATTGTGGTCAGATCTTCATCTGGGAGGAGTTACCTAGTGAGCTGGAGGTGAAAAGTGGCATTTTTAGATACTGATGCTAACTGGTCATCCAGGGTTAGTGGGGAGTCAAACAGGACCCTGAGGCCTCACATCATTTTGATGAATGGACATGGTGTGCCTTCAGGGAGAGGGCTCTTAAGTGTTGCTCTTTCACAGCAACCCCACCAAATTTACTAGCTTCACCAGGGTGAGACAGTGTCTCAGCTCATTCTTCAGTGTTTCCCCATTCTGACCAGCATCACTTCCTGTCCCACATTCTAACCCTCATAAGGTAGTGGTTGATTTATATCCTAAGGCATGAGAGATTAGACTGCCATATAATGTGGATATTATTTATTTATTTATTTATTTATTATTCATATTAATGTTTAATCCTCCTAAGCCCTTGACCTTGGTGACATCTTGTGGCAGAGAGTTCCACATGTCCGTTGTTCAATGTGCACGAGTATTTTATCAGTTTTTAAATGTAAAGGACGGAGGAAGAAGAAAAAACTTTCTCCCAACAGGCAGCTGACCCTCCAGGAAATATCTGCACCTACTGCGGGCAGATCTGTGTTTCCAGGATTGGACTCCTGAGTCATCTTGGGACCAATATGTAAATCGGTGGTAGAGATCATCCTTGAATTGAGGGATCACTGATGATGATGAAATGTACTGCTCTTCAATTTCAGTGAATGTTCCTTGTTCTTGTATTATGAAAGAGCATAAACAAGTCCCCAGCTGACTTCTCTATACAATTAATTGTTTTTATATGTATTTATCATATCCCCTCTCTGAATAAAACAGTCCAAGTCTCTTCAATCTCTCCTTATACAGAAGTCTTTCCAGGACTCTAGTCATCCTTGTTGCCTTTCTCTGGAACTCTTCTGTTTTGCTATATCTTTCCTGAGAAGAGGTGACTAGAAATGAACATAGTGTTCAGGGTGCTACGAATCAAAATTCGGGCCTTGTTGTGCTGGGTGCTGTAGCAATGCATATGAAGAGATGATTCCTGCCTCAGACTGTGCAGTCTAAGAAGACAAGTGACTACAAAGGATGAGGGGACAGGATCACCGTGAAATACATACCATATTTATGGAGTTTTGCATCTGCACTTTTTTTTTGCTAAGTATAGATAAAATAAATGACAGCCAACCCCATCTGCCCACCCATCATCATTATTCTATAAATGGAGACAAGGAGGGGACTGAGAACAGAGCTTTGCAGGACCTGTTTGGAGAGCGGAAAAAGAGGAACAATTGAAAGAAACTGACGGAGTGATCTGAGAGGTAGGAGAGTTGTGAGAGGAAAACCACAAAAGCCAAGATGATGAGATTTCAAGGAGTGTTACAGAATTACAGGCTCTGGGTTTGGGCCAAGAAAAGGCAATAGAAATCTTGGGGAGAGCAGTTTCAGTGGAGCTCAGGGGATAGAAGTCAGACTGGAGGGGGGTCCATGATGGAGCTGGAGAAGAGGAACTCTAGACAGTGGTTGCACATGGCATATTCTCAAGTTTGGTGGTGAAGGGGAGGAGGAGATAGGGTGGGCAATATTTGGAGAGGCAGGTGGGGTTGAAGGAAGGCACTTTCAGCAGAGGTGAGTGAGATTAAAGAGGAGTGTGAGAGAGGAATGAGGGGGTGAAGGAGGTCATGAGGCAGAAGGGGGATGAATGGGGTCACTGCTGCATGTGGAAGGTTTAGAGGAGGAGAGCAAATGACAAACCTCTGTCGGTGATGATAGAAAGATTTTTGTGGTAGTTTTTTGTCAATCTTCTCTATTTGAAAGAGCAAAATTTTGCATGGAGAGGGTGGAGGAAGGAGGCTTTAAGGAAGGTGTCAGACATAGTGACTAGGCAGCTGGGATTGTGGATGTGGCCAGGTCACCACTCTCCCCTTTCTCCAAATCATTGTTAGATATATTTTAAAACTAGTCTTAATATGAATCCTTGGTGTACCTGCTGTTAGCCACTTAATCATGGGAAGTGGTTATTTATTTCTCTTTTGTTTCCTGTCTTAGACAGTTTTTGATCCATGACAGAAATGTATCGCTCTCCCCATGTTACTTATAATTTATTGGGACTTTCATTAATGACCCGTCAACGTGTTCTCCTGTATCCTCTGTTTTCTTGACACGCTCAAAGATTGAAGAGACGGTTTTCCTTTACAGAAGCTGTGCTTATTTGTCCCTATATCATCTGTTGTCAGACATCACCAGTGTGGTGCTCTGCTCTATCCAATGCTGATAACAGTCGGCTGTGTGCCTGTGTTTCCTCTGTGTGCTGCCCCGGCTCTGTGCAGATAGCTGACGCAGCAGACCCTGAGAGAACCCCCAATGACCACAGACTCCGATAAGGTACGAAGGCACCCGGCCAGGTTTATTGTCAAACGAAACAGTCTCTAGCTCCCCGGATCAGATGTCTACAGTTCTGCTAGTACATATGTGCTCCCTGACAATGGACACAGCTCAGTCAGTGGCGGGACACTCAACTGCCCCCTAGGCTGGACAGAGTCAATGCCCCAGGGATGCATTCTTCTACACAGGCACAAACAAGTTACACATTTTTCCTTACGTATTGAGGTGTAACCCCTCTACATAGTAAGGTGCCGCTTCTCACCTTGTACATGTTGGTTAGAACAAAACAACTCTATTCATCATATTACGCTTTTGCCCCTGTCTTCAGGGTGGGTCAGCCTGTTCCTTGTTATGTGTGTGGAATGTGCAAGGATCGGAGTGTTCAGGTATCTCTAGTGTCCAGTACCTTTTAGGTATGTGTATTTTTGCAACATCAGCCCTTTCCTTGCCAGCTTCTGTGAGCAGGGTCTGCCTTGGCTCACGGCTTAACTTTGCTTTATGTTAGTAAAGTCTTGACCATTACTTTAGTTCAGGACCTTAGGCCTCATACCAGGCCTCTGATATAAGGGTTTATGTTTCAGGGCCTTATCTTACTACAGTATCCTCTCTATCTTGGTGCTTCATAAGTCTCTGTAGTTAGCCACTTTACATAGTACTAAAATAAAACTTTCTGGTTTATAATTCCTAGGATCACTCTTAGTACTGGACAGAAAGACATTTGCTACTTTCCAGTCCCCTGGCATAGTAATTGATTTTTAATGAGTGCATATTTTTGGTAGTAGCTCATCCACTTCATCCTTAAGCTCCTTCTGAACTCCTGGATGTATGTGCTGCTGGTTAATTTATCAGTGTCTCCCTTGACACCGCAGTCTCCGATGGTGCCACATTTACCTTTTCTGTGATGTCCTTGTTCTCTGTAATTGCTTAATCTGGTGATCCAGTGTAACCACCAATTTTTTTGTGGGCTTCCTATTTCTGGTATACTTAAATTATGTCTTTGGCTATGTGTTCTTTCAATTCTGTCTTAATTAAAATGGAAGTTACAGAAGTGATTACATGCTGTAGTTTATGCTTTGCTTGGGCTGGATTTCCATTTTCTGATTGATGCTTGCTTTGATTTGCATAACTTCTTGAACCTTGCCAGTTAGCCATGATGGCTTAATTTTTTGTTTCCTGCTTCTTTTTTGTTTGGGGCACACATGTCTTCTTTACTGTTGCAGTTATTTAATTTAGTTACTCTGAGACTAAAGGTTTTCTTAAGTTTCCTCACTTCTGACTTTTTAGGTGAGTTAAATCCCTCTTTCTAGTTCTTGATATTCTTCCCATGATAATACTGAAGCAAAAGTGATCAGGAGATAATTTCTATAGTTACTTCCCAAACCAGCTCCTACACATTTCCTCTCCTTTGCGCACTTCAGAGTTAGCAGTTCCAAGAAGCAATCATTTAAGCTGTTGAAAAATTGCAGTTTAAGTTTTCAGAAGTGGGTAATATTTTTTGAGTGTACAACTTGATGCATCTTAGAGGTTCCCTCTTTTCAGACAGTGCTGAGCACCCACCCTTTTAAAGTGTCTCTTTGGACATCCAAAATCCCTAGTCACTTAGCAAATGTAGACCTTCTCTACCATGTGTTCTGATGTGAAACTGACCAATTAGTATGCAGTGAAATAGGCAAGACCTGAATTTCAGATGTAAAAAAACCCAAACTCACACTTTTTGACTTTCTTAATAAGAATCTAAAAAAGGATACTAACCCAATATTTTTTTTCTGAGCAGGTCTCCTTTAAAAGGGGGTAAGGGTAACCCTGTCGCTTCATACTGCCTCATCAGCATCTCCTTTGTGCTATGCATTGTATGGTGCATTCCCCTTCTGTCCTCTTCCCTGTTTGGGGGTCCCTGAGTTGGTCATCTTGTGTTGTCTGTGTATAGGACCCCATGTCAGTGCTCCCCTCTTCCCTTGCCACATGCCATGTCTTTCCCCCAACATTGGTGCTGTGCCTGGTACCTGACTTTCCTCCCCTCTGTGTGAGTCTGGTACATAGCCTTCCCCTCCAGTGGGGGTGTGTGAGAGAGAGGTGTTACTTCATCCCTCCTCTTGTACCTTGTCTCCTGTGGTGCTGTCTGATTTAAAATGATCAAATTAGGGTAATGCTTTTAGAAGTGGTTCAGCTAACTTTATTTTCTTTTTCAGTAACTAAGGAAGTTGTTGCTATGGGGACTGGAACTAAATGCATTGGCCGTGCAAGAATGAGGAAAACTGGTAAGTATTGTGTAGAAACCAAGGCAACCTATCTTGGCCTCTTCGTCACTTGTCATTGGTATGAGCTCAGCCTCAGAAAGGCAACAACGGTACAAGAGAAAGTCCCAAACCTATAGGGTTGGGTAGACAGCATTACCGGCTAGGTTTGCTGCACTGCGCTCCCACTATCCACAGCCCTTAAGAGGAACTGACAAAAGCCGTATAAATGGACATTGTCAGGTAGTGTAGGTCCCAAATGTACTGGCGTTTACAAAAACAACAAAAAAGGCAAATCTTGTTTTCTAGTCTGATTCCTTCAGAGCCTGTTGTGAAAAACACCACAGTAACCAAACTCCAGAAAAGTGAGAGAAAACCCCTCTTATTTAGCTATAATCAGCCGCTACATACTGCACTGATTTCTCTATAAGTAACTGAGAGCTGCTGTGAGAAGTTATTCATCCTGTCTCCTCCCTTAATATGCATATTTATAAGAGAGGAGGACCAAACTGCACTTGGCTGCTCCTCCTTGGAGAGTGGAGGGGCCACAGAGACTCATGTCAGGAAATAACCTGGGAAGGAGACATGGCCAAGAGCCTTTCAATACAAGGATCTTTGTCTTCCCCAGAATCTAGAGGTAGAATATAGCAAGAGAAGAGAGCAGCTCTGGCAGATCCCATGTTGGCAAAGCTGTTTCTGTGCTCTGTAGTGCATTTTGCACATAAAAACATTTTAAAGCCTTTTTTGTTTTTTGCTTTGCACTAAATGCTGTGTCTCGGATTACTTATTATGGGTGTTTCTGGGGTCAGCACCACCACAATGTAATATTAATCTGGATGGTTTCATGATTTATCTTTTAATTTTAAATAAAAACCATGTTTTAACTTTTTTTTTATTGCATTGATTGCAACCCATATGATGTCTTTAAAGATCTAAAGGATGAAATTTACCAGACATATGAGTGAAATTGAGTAGGTTTTTTCATTATCTAAGTTGAGTGCAATGAAACTTGTACAAAGAATGCCACTGGTGAAAAGTCAACTAGATGTTAAAATTAAATTTTGCTTTAATAATTTTGGGTAGCATTGGTAGCCTGACAAATCTATTAAGAGAATAGGGAAAGTTTCTTTGGTGCTATTAGCAATCTCAAAACCCTGTACGTCTAAGACAAAAAGACAGCTAGAATGTATATGCATTTTGTGATATTTTATTTTAAATGCACTTTATTAAATTATTAAACTTAAGTGCAAGAGATTAGACAAATGCATTATGCAGTATAAAGAAAAGGAATACTTGTGGCACCTTAGAGACTAACCAATTTATTTGAGCATAAGCTTTCGTGAGCTACAGCTCACTTCATTGGATGAATGATGCATGTTGCATCTGATAAAGTGAGCTGTGGCTCACGAAAGCTCATGCTCAAATAAATTGGTTAGTCTCTAAGGTGCCACAAGTACTCCTTTTCTTTTTGCGAATACAGACTAACATGGCTGTTACTCTGAAACCTGTCATTATACAGTACAGTGATGAAAGTGCATATGATTGCATTAAAATGTAAAGAAAGCAAGGATATGTGCTTTAAAGTGCATTGCATAGATATGTGATTGGCAAGAAGGACATTTCTGAGAAGCTAACTGATTTCTTTGCATCAGTCTTCACCATCAAAAAGGAGATTCATATCCCACATCTGCTGTTTCCTGGTAACAAAGAGGAGGTAGTCTCAGATCCTGATGACAGGAGAAGAGATACTAGAGCAAATCAATAATATTAAATGCAGTAAGTCACCAGCCCAGATGGTCCATCAAGTTCTGAAGAAGCTCAAATATGAAGTGTCTGAATTGCTCACAAAAATATGCAATCTTTCACTAAAAACAGCTACTGTTCAAGAGACTTAGGGGGTAGCAAATGTTGTAGTCCTTTTGAAAAGGCTCTAGGGCAGGGGTTTTCAACCTTTTTCTTTCCGAGGCCCCCCCTCAACGTGCTATAAAATTTCAGGGCCCACCAAGGGAGGTGGGGGACTTGGGGCTCTGGGCCAGGGGTGGCCCTTGGGCATAGGCATAGTTTGACTTCTATTTGGGGGGGGTGGCAGGGCTTGGGCAAGCTCTGCACAGTGGGGTCCAGGAAGGCAGTGCCACCTCTACCCCGTGACTCACCTCAGCAGGCCACCCAGCCTGTCTGGGTTGTGTGTGGTGGGGGTTCAGCTCAAAAAGTTTGAAAATCACTCAGGGGACAGGGAGGGGGTAGCTAAGCGCTGTGTGCAGGCAGGGGGGTAGCTCAGGGTGCAGGCAGGGGGTAGCGAGGGGCTGTGTGTGGTGTGGGGTAGTTAGGGGCTGTGTGCCAGGAGGGCTCCCCTGTGGTCATTGCTCCCCAAGGGTTCTGCTGGCCACAGAGCGGGGTCCCCCTCTGTGGGGCGGCTCTTACCAGCTGCATGAGCTGAGGAGCAGCAGCAACTTAGGCACCAGCAACAGATGGGGGAACCTGCTTCATGGCACTAGCCAGAGCAGTAACTGCTTGACTCCAACTTCTGCCTCTGACCTGGCCAGGGGGTTGGGCATTGGGGGGAGGGGGGGTAGGAAGAGGGACGTATGTGGAGCTGCTCCTGGGACTGCCCCACTCTGGCACTGCGGTCGGGGGTGGTGGCATCCAGTGCTCAGGGTTTTAGCTGTGGGGTCCCATGGTCCCTGAAATGGCTCACAGACCCCCTCGGTTGAGAACCACTGCTTTAGGGGGTAATTTGGGGCAATATAGACCAATTAACTTTATAGCTATACCTGGCAAATTAGTTCTGTTTTTAAATTTTTGATTCAACCAATAAAACACCTGGAAGATAATGATACAATAGGGTCTAACCAGCATGGAATCTGCAGAGGAAAATCATCTAATTAATCTCTGAGAATTTCTTCAACATGTCAATAAAGTAATGGATAAAAGAGAAATGTTTGGCCTAATTTATTTAGCCTTTCAAAATGGTCCCTCACTAGAGGTTATTAAAGCAGCTAAGTAGTCTTGGTGTGAGAGGTAAAGTATTGTCTTGGATCAAAAACTGTCTAGGAGACAGAAAGGAAAAAGGACTAAATGGTCAGTTTTTGTCATTGGAAAAGGTTAACAGTGGGGCCTCAAGATTCTATACTAGGTGCTGTGTTTAATATTAAATTATCTCAAAACTAGGTGAGTACTGAGGTAACACTGTAGACTGCTTAGAGACCTCAGCATCAAAAAAGCAAACAAGGTTTGGATGCATGAGGAATGGCATGGAGAATACCAAAAATAGTATTTCTTTGTATAAATCAGTGATGCAACCCGTGCAGTACTGCGTCCCCACTCCCATCTCAAAAGCAATATTTCAGAATGGGAGGGGTTTCAGAGAAGAGAAAGTATGATGAAGGCCCTGGAAAAGTCACATGAAGAGAGATTGAAAAGATTGGGATTGTTGACTTTAGAGAGGAGATGATTAAGAGGGGACATAAGAACAAATGGACATTCAATGAAATCAAAAGATGGAAAATTAATAACTCATAAAAGGAAGCACTTTCACACAAACGTGCAATTACACTGTGGAAGTCAGTGCTGCAAGGAGTCATTTGAAGTCAAGAACTTTAGGTTTAAAAAGGGATTGGACATCTATATGGATATCAAGACCTATCCAGAGGTCGTATTCTAAAATTAATTATGCCTAATTTTGGAAGGATTATTCAGCCTTGTGGTTTAGGCTTTAAGTCAATCTCTAACTGGTAAAGACCAGGATGAGATCTATGTGGGGGAGAGATTACCCATATTTGTCTACTGCAGGGCTCTTACACCTTCATTTAAAACAGCTGGTTCTGGTCACAGAAAGAGAGAATACTGGACTAGATAGATTTTGGTGTCTGGTCCACTATGGAAATTTCCATGTTCCTAATACATGGTTAAAATCTTTTAAAGAATTTATTCTGAAGCAGGAAATTAATTATACTCAGCTATAGATATTTCACTGTAACATTTGTAGTAACTCAAAATTTATTTCTGTACATTAATATTTCCATCAGTTTTCTGTTCCTAGAAATGGGTGGAGGCTTTCTGATGGTCTAAAGCGGGGATCTCAAACTCAAATCACCACGAGAGCCACATGAGGACTAGTACATTGGCCCGAGGGCTGCATAACTGAAACCTTTTCATACAAGGATACAAAAGTGTAGTCAAAAATGACAAAAATGAAGAGTAATATAGTATGCTATTAAAAGTCAATGTATTAACTTTAAAAGTTTGAAGAGGGGTTTTAATAAAATATAAACACCTGTAACTATTCCTTAGGTGGTCAGTAACACTGATGTCTATCAACATAGCTGTACTAGCAGGAACTTTTAAAAGTAACTATTCATACAAAATACGTTGCCACTTTTAACAAACATTCTTCCCAACCACTCACAGCAAAGAATCCTACATGCTGAACTTTATACCTCAGACTGCTCGTCTAGTCCATAAGGCTGTGCCCCAACTCTTCCCCCTCCCTGGCCCTATTCCAATGCCTTATAGAATCATAGAATATCAGGGTTGGAAGGGACCTCAGGAGGTCATCTAGTCCAACCCCCTGCTCAAAAGCAGGACCCATCCCCAATTAAATCATCCTTCTCCAAATCCCCGGTCTGGCCCCATCTCTTTCCCGCCTCTTCCCCTGAGCGTACCACATCCCTGCTCCTCCCTCCTGGAAAGTCCTAAGTGCCAAAGTCCTAAGTCCCAAACAGCTGTGGAGTCAGTGCCTATGGTGGGCCGGGGCCGTGTATCTAAAACCTTTGGCTAAACCTTTGTGATTGAATTTTTGTCGACAGGAGTCATCATCCTCTGAATCAGACACACACAGTTCCTCCTGCACCAATTTATCAGAAGAAATTTTGCTTGTAACAGGCAAAACACATTCAAATTTAGTAAATATTTCAGTTCTCTTCAGTAAATATATCCCAGATCTATTAGCAGCCTTTAGTATATTAACAAGGGCTCATTATCAGATTTCAAAACATCACCAATTTTCATAATCAGACCTATCGACA